TGTGTGTGTGTGTGTGTGTGTGTGTGAGAGAGAGAGAGAGAGAGAGAGAGAGAGAGAGAGAGAGAGAGAGAGAGAGAGAGAGAGAGAGAGAGAGAGACGTTTGGTTGGACGATGGCGTTCAGCGAACATCACTGTCCTAGTAGTGGCATATGCACGACGGAAGAAAAACGTACCAGACAGGGAGCATCCCTCCCTCTACCGCCAGACTGTTTTGTTGACATACACCTTACGTTTTCCTGACGTGGATGGTTACGTGCGTATTTGTGTAGGGGGTGAGTCTCGCCGACTTTTGGGGAGTGTTTCTATTGGGCGAAATAATGATTTGCAGTCTATTTTGCTAAGAAAAATAAGTGTGTTGGGGTGCATGCGTGTGTTTTCATACCTGCATGTTGAAGAAGTAAAGAAGCCGACAAAATAATGGTGAAAGGAATGCTAACGAAAAAAGAAAACAGGAGTGCTCTCTACTCTCCTTCTGAGGGTTTATGTCTATATTATCTCTATGTGTTTGCTAATCGGTGGTTGTGTCGCATTTGCGCTGCTAGTTATGTACCTATGTATAGGTGGTATTACAGAGCTCCGTGACAACGTATATAGGCGTAGTACACGTGTTTGATATTTCACGGAACTCCTGGACATCGACCGATCTCTCAACAGTCGGTAACGTTTCAACAAACGGCATATGGAAAGGGTAGTGATCGATGAACTACCGTCTTCACCCGAATAGAACGCCCGGTCATTATAGCCGTATTTGGTGCAATTTTCAGTCTAGATGCAGTGACAATGACCGGGCGTTCTATTCGGGTGAAGACGGTAGGGTTGCATGATTGATTGACGCCTGAGGGTGGTGTGACAGAGCTGGCACTCCCGAGGCGCTCGCTGGCACTCACTCTGATTTGAGCAAAGTAAAAACGGTGATGCGTCCGCTGCCTGGATCCTCCGTCTTTAACTTGATGGGCGCGCAATATGCTGTTAACGCCCCCCCCCCCCCTACAGGGCGCCGCTGCAGAGGATGCACGCAAAGATGCCCCTCTTCTTGGATGGTGAATGACTGTGTACCCGGGAAGTCTCTTGCACAATTCAATAGATATAGTCCTTTCGAATCCAGATTTGTGTGAGCACAGCGATCCCTCCGTAGCATCGACTGTGCTGGCGGATGAGGAAGCAGTGATTTGGTAACGATGGGTGAGGGATAGAAGAGGTGAAGGTGGTTGTTGTGGTGTTTTTATCGATGGATGGTGGTGCCGCTGAAGATCAGATCGGAATGTGTGATTTGCTTGTGTGTGGTTGTGATGAAGGTAAATTGTGCATCGAGGTGACGTCCCAGTCAAAGATCGCGTTTATTTCTGAGGAGCTGTGCATTGGATGCGGTATTTGCGTTAAGGTGGGTAGAGCTCCTTTGAGAACCATTTCTCGCTCGTTGTTTATTTACTTGCGTGCGCTACTTGCAAGTCCGTCTGTTCTGTTTATTTGATGTCTGCGCTACGTGCAAGCCCGTCTCTACTGTTTCTTTCGCGGTCACGCTTCTATGTAGTGGTGAGCTGTTTTTATCATCGGTGTTGTTCTGAATCTCTTGGTGCTCTTTTGTCTAGCAGCGTACGTTTGGGGACTGGAGCTGTCCGCGTGCAGCTGGTTGTATCTGGGGGGAGTGATTTATGAAATCAAGATACGTCGTTAGTTAGGGAAACGCGTTATTGTAATGAAGACATCATAGCTTGCAATGCGGGTGATCGCTGTATATTCTCGCCTCCTTCCTTCCTCCCTCCCTCCCTCCCTTTCCCCCCCCCCGCCCCGTTCCGCCTCCCCCCCTTGCAATCCCCTGGTGCATATGTTTAGACCTGTCTTTTCGTTGTTTGGGTTGTTCTGGAGGATATCCTATGCAGGCGGGATACCCTAGCAATCCCCTAGCAATTCCGTCTCCGTGTATTTTTGTGGGCTCGGAGTCGATTAGTTGTGTTCTTAGGGATCGACCATGTCGTGATTGGCTCTGCTCTGCCCCATTGGCGTCTCGATTGGTAGAGTGATTTCTAGAATAGGCTCTTGACGACAGTGTGAGATTGCGCGTGTAATTAACAAAACATTCGATGGGTCGGCTTATTCATAGGTGAATGATTTCATCGTGTGGGCTTTCTATTTACCGTATTCTGGAACGTGACTTTGCAAGGGTTTGCAAAGGACGGCAAGGAACGACGGGAGGCGATGTGTTGGTTCGGGAATCAGTTTCCGACGGCCCCTGTTGGCGAACTGTGAGAAAAAGGGAGAGGATGGATAGAGAGAGAGAGAGGGAGTGGGTGGGTAAAGGAGATCATGTGCCCTTATTATATAGATATACAGATATATAGAGTATGTATATGAGCGGCCTCTTTGTGATGATGTATACGTATATATTTCAGACATATATTGTCTTGGTGACGATATATTTCAGACATATATTGTCAAACAGAACTGCCCGGTAAACCGTCGGCAGAGAGGGAGAAGAGGACAACAAACGAGGGGCTGTGACAAACTGTTTCGTTGGAGTTTCACCGATTCATCAGGAGGCTGAACCCTCGACAGTATGCAGAATCCGCTAACTGATTACACTTCATATATATATATCAGATATATATATTTCAGATACTTATGCCACGAAACTGCTCGGTTAACCGGGGCTGGAAAGGACAAGTGACGGGGGCCTGTGACAGACTGTTTCGTCGGTGTTTCACCGGCTCATCAGGAGGTTGTACCCTCTACTACAGTCCGCAGAGTCCTCTAATCGGTGCTGCTGCAGATGGTAATGATCCATCTAACCTCTGTTGCGGTTGTGCACATCGACCATTGCCCCACGAGTGATGCGATTGGTGGTCGCCAACCACTGCCCTCGAGGGTAGCTTTGACGGAAATCAAATCAGACTTACTTGCACCAGACGGTGAATGATTACAGTACATGATTACGACAGACAGTTGGTTTAATAATACCAGACAGATGTGGATATGTCTTATAGATGCGCGTACGCATAATTATAGCGTAGAATGAGAACAGGAAAACAAACGAGGAGCTGCGACAAACTGGTACATCGGAGTTTCACCGACTCATTTTGAAGCTGAACCCTCTCTACAGTCTGCAGAATCTCCTACCTGATTACACTGTAAGTGGTAATCCACCTTAACCCTGGTTGCGGTTAATCATCAACGACTGCTCGACAATCGATACGTTGAGGTGTATTTGTATGTACGATTCTTCGCTTTTTCTACCACCTTTCCACAATTTCACCTTCATCTCCCCTGTCCCCCCCTCTTTTTCTCGTTTCTGCCTGTAAATAAGTAAAACATTTTAGCCATTTCTGGCCCTTTTCCATTTTCTGTCTCGTTTCAACAAACTTCAACATTACCTGACGCACTTGCCAGGAACAAACCTTTAGGATATTTCTCCATATCCTAGAGCTCTCTTGCCTGCCTTTATCTCTTGAAATCGTCGCCCTTTCTCTCTCCGCCAGTCGTCATCCTCTTCGTCCCTCTCACGACGCCTTTTGCTCAGCCCACAGCTCCACCGCTGTCTATCTAGACAGCTACATTTTTTTTTCCAATTCCTCTCTGCGCTTGGTTTCTCCTCCACTTGCGAACGAATTTTGCCATTTCGTATTCTTTTTTTTTGCTTTTTTGAAAACAGGGCCTTATGGTCCTGGCCCCTTCTATTCTGGGGAGCGTATTCATAAATAACACCTGCAACAAAATTTTCATTTCCTCGTTGGCGCTCTCCAGCCAGTGTTTCTTTTGGATGTTAGCGAATGTCATACCATCCAGTCAATCTATGCGGCGCATAGTCTTGCAGTTGGAAAGAAAGTAAGTCAGCGTCTTCCGTCGAATACGGAAGACATCACTCATTTCTGCTTCTTGTACGAGTGTCAGCGTGTGGTTGAGTTGTTGTCCACCATCTTCCCTGTAAAGGTATCTGCGGGCGTCTATAGTCTTCCTGGGAATAGAACGGACGGTCGTAATAGCTGTATTCGGGGCAACTTTCAGTGTAACGATAATACTAAACAAATGATAGTGCGTTGTTTTTGGTATAAGCGTTGTGGTATCTTTGGGAGCCTTCCGTCTTTCATGTCCCAGCGCGTTCCATTTACTAGCATCGAATTGCGTATCTTCACAGTCCATCCTCCTTTATCCTCCCTGCACAGCGTGCTCTCTTTGTTTGCCTGCAGCAATGAGTTGTTTTTTTCCTTTTTTTTTTAATAATTAAGCTATATTCTTCTGACAATTTCACCTTTTTACTATTTAGCTACCACTACTAAGCCTATACAGGGAACCCCTGCAATCATGGCTACCTCTCACAATTAAGGGGGATGCATGTTGCCCCCCGCCCTAATCGGCGGTGGTCAGGGATTAGGGTGGGGCCGCCCTGTTGGGGGGGGTTGTGGGCGGCTAACGGAAAGCATTTTGCTACTTCCCCAACCCCCCATCGAGTAGCAGCAGTGCCTATTTATATGGCCAAAACTCTCCCACGCACCACACACAACCCAGTCACGCTGACACTCATACCCGTGTTCGCCATAGACACTACTAATACCGATCAGGGGTATGAAGTGGACTATCACAGTCGGTTGGCACTTATTGCGCCGCAGGCGGCCATGGGATTCGAACCCACAGCCTCCTGAATGCCTCTTGCGTGCCTAACCAACTTAACTCGAGTTTCTCTTCAACTGGAGCTCTTTGTTTTTTCAACTTTTTTGAATTCAGGTTTTATAACTGCACTGTTTGATTAGAAATCACGCACAGGATTTCTGCGCCGCACGCGCGTTACGCTGATGCCTACGACTCTGTGACGTCTTTAGATGCTCTGGGCCGCGGGCGCGCGCTACACATGGATCCAACGAGGCACTTGCCTGGATCGAAAGGCACAGGTAACCTTCTCAAGGTTCGTCTTGACCGGGATGGATTGTTGTAATTATCGATCTTGAACGAGGAATGCCTACCCTCTTCCCCCAAACATAACGCTCCCTGATAACGAATGTACACAAGCTATCTTTCCGGCCCGGTGCTGCCAAAACGAGGGTGCGTTGTGTTCGGGGAAGACGGTAGTAAGCGCGAGTCATCAACTTGCGCTGATTACGTCTCTGCCCTTTGTACACACCGCCAGTCGCTCCTACCGATTGGCCGGGTCGCGGTGATCTGGTCTGTTTGCCGCTGGGGGTGCAGTGAGAAGTTCCTTGAACCTTTTTATCATTTAGAGAGAGGAAGGAGGAGAAGTAACAAGGTTTCCGTAGGTGAACCTGCGAAAGGATCATTGACCCCGAAAGGATCATTGACCCAAAAAAAAGGGACCTACGGGATTTGGATGGACGGTATACATGACTCTGAATATCATCACAGAGGGTTGTAAATAACGAAGGGGGGGGGGGGGGGGGGGGGGGGGGGGGGGGGGGGGGGGGGGGGGGAGGGGGTGCGGCCTGGTTGTGAGTGGAACAATGGCCGTAGCTGCGGCACTCCCTACTCCCACCTTACTCCCCCAAGGTTATGGATCTCTTCCTGGCAGTTGCGGTTCTCCTTGGTGTTTTTTTTGAGACATGGTTGGTACCACCGTTTGCCAGCCCTGTCATTTTGCCGTAGACCTTACTGAATCTGATTTCCGGGCAATTGCGGCTTACCTTGATGTCCTACACAGTAGTAATTAACCCTGGTAAGCACGATTGACCTTGATGTCGGCATGCACTGCCTAAAAGGCAGGAGGCAAAAAATAACGCTTTGTCTAGTCTGAAAGTTGCCCCAAGTACAGCTGTACTATGCTAACCTTTCGGCCCTGTGTCCTGCCTACTGTCTTCATCCGAATGGAACTCTGCACGGTCGTTAGTGCTATATCTAGTTTGAAATTGCCCCAGGTACAGCTATAATGACCATGCTTTTCAATCTTGGGAAGACGGCAGTTGCAGAAGGCAGTCGTAATATTATCACCGTGGAGGGCCTTGCAGGTAGGGATCACAGGTGTCTTTATTACTATAACGCGCGGACCTCTGCAGGTGCCGTGATTATCAGGCGCGCGTCTTTGCGGGCGCCTTGATTACTAGGTGCATGTTGCTCCATGTGTTTTGGTTCAGGTGCAGATTGCTGCACGTGCCTTGATTATCAGGCGCAGATCTCTGCAGGTGCCTTGATTATCAGATGCTGGTCTCTGCGAGCATTGTACGTAGACCCTGTGACTA